TTTTAAGACTTTGATTAAAGAAACTGAAGATGACACAAATGGAAAGATATCCCATGTCCACTGATTGAAAGAATTAATATTGTTAAAATGTCCATACTACCCAAAGAAATCTAGATTCAATACAATCCCTAACAAAATTCCAATGGCATTTTTCACAGAAATAGAACAGTCTTAAAATTTGTAAGGGATCACAACAGACCCTGAATAGCCAAAGCAATCCTGAGAAAGAATACTAAAGCTTCTTGATTTCAAACTGTATTACAAAGTTAGAGTACTCAAAACAGTATGGTATTGGCATAAAAACAGACACATATATCAATATATCAGAGTACAGAGCCCAGAAGTAAACCCACACATACATGGTCAATTAATTTGTGACACAGGAGCCAAAAATATACAATGAAGAAAGGACAGTCTCTGCAATAAATGGTGTTGGGAAAATTAGACAACCACATGCAAAAGAATGAGACAGGACCATTATCTTACATCATACACAAAAATCAACTCAAAATGGGTTAAAGGCTTGAACATAATACCTGAAGCCATAAGACTTGTAGAAGAAAACATAGGCAATAAGCTCTTTAACATTGGTTTTGGAGATGATTTTTGGGGATTTGACGCCAAAAGCAAAGACCACAAAAGCAAAAATAAACTAGTGAGACTACATCAAACTAAAAATCTTCTGTACAGCCAAGGAAATCAACAAAATGAAAATGCAACCTACAGAATGGAAAAAAATATTTGCAAATTACGTATCTAATAAGGGGTTAATACCCAAAATATATAAGGAACTCATACAATAGAAAATAGTCAACAACAAAAAAGTATGATTTTTAAAATGGACAGAGAATCTGAATAGATATTTTTCCAAAGAAGACATACAGATAGCCAACAGATACATGTAAAGGTGCTCAACATAACTAATCATCAGGGTAATGCAAATCAAAACCACCATACGATATCACTTCACACTTGTTGGAATGGTTATTGTAAAAAAGACAAGAAATAACAAGTGTTAGTGAGGATATGGAGAAAAGGGAAC